TGCTATTTACATATGTCACACATAATTTGCATCAATATTATAAGACTCACTGTTATTTTATACCTGAGTCTCACATGGTTTATGGACTAGTCAATCAACATGAGAAGAACTATTATTTCTAATAACGCATTAGCTTCAATAAAAGGAATGTCTAAGATTTTCCATTAAACTCCCAGACTGAAGTACCACCACAGAGGAAAATGACAACTTTTTCATTTTCAATGCCTGAAAAACACAAAATAATAGGATATTTTAATTCCATTGTTTCTACAAAGGATTTCTCACATCACTACGTTTTAGTATATGTCTGTTGATTTTGAATCTGGTCCTCTTAGCTTCTGTAACATGCCTTCATCCTATTTATTTTATAATTTGCACTTTGTATCAGGTTTATTAAGCAGGGATAGAATGACCAATAAAAATCTGTGTTAATTTTTCACTCACTTGATTTTAGGAAATTTTAATTTGGTTGATATGGGTTACATTTTTTTTTTTTGCACTTTAGCTTTGCTTATTGCACTGCTTCAAAATAGTCTATAATTATGTTAGGATTTGCAGATGTTAAAGAAACATAATAGAACATACAATGGAACTCAGCCCGGCAATGACAAGTTTGATATAATAATTTCCCTTACATTGCATCTGGAGCTTTGGTAATGTTAGAATCTATTTTTTAAATTTCTTTTACATCATAATAATCAATACCAGTTAAATCCAAAATCCTACATTGCAACCGTATCTCTCTTATAGACTGCCCTCTCCTTTCTATGGGTATATATGTCATTTGACATTACCCCCTGGAAGCAAGTCAAAAGCTTCAACAAAACTCTAAATACCTGCCGAAAAATTACAAATTGGTTTTGGAGTTATCAGGCAGCAGATTTTATCACGAGTATATGTACTGTATGTGCAGAAACCTTCTGGTGCTGATTCTTAAAGTTCAACTCAGCTCTACTATTCCTTTCTACTGTTCCTTTCTAGTCATGTCTACACTACACAAACAATACACAATGCAGCAGAGAGCTGGGGAGTGTAAAGAGAACCCACTCTGAATTTAGGGTCTGTCTTTGAATACAGTAGAAGCAGGCACTAAGGAAGGTAGGTCATAGATATTTTGTTCCCTATGAGGAAGTTCAACTTTGGGCACTTAGAGTGGGAGGGACCTTGAGGCTATGTACATTGTTAACATATGTCACAGTCCTTGTATCCATGAGGAAGTCAATGACCTTTACAAATTTCCTTCCAGGTAAAACATATAAATATAACTGACACAGCCAGAAATGTGTCCACAGGAACAAAATCAATACTGTAATAAGAACCAGAAGCATGTCTACAGACATAGTCCGTGACACAACTGGAAACATGTTTACATAATCCGCAAAGTACTACCACATCAAGAAACATGTCTGCAGAGACAGAACCAGTACCGATTTGACACATCCTTAATATGTGCACAAACACTAAATCAGTACTGTGCTGAAACACCAAAAATATGTCCACAGAATCAGTATAATAAAAAATGTATGGTACATATGCATTACATAACATTAATGTACATTGTATACATACATAACATTGAAATTGCACATACAATGACACTTGGTGCTGCATGCTGCTTCACTGTCACTTGAAGGATTCTTGAAGGTAGCATTCACAGAGAGAGTGGAAAGTGATGGTTTAAAATTTGTTACTGCAAAACAGAAGCACATTTGATAACCGGGATTATATTAGAAATATATAAATGGCTTTTAAACTAGCTGTTTCCGTCCCCTCTGTGATTGCAAGCTCACAGTCTTTGTATTGAGTCACACTAATGTTCTGGCTCACTAAAATAAATATAATAATGAGTTTTTCTAATTTTTCCATCAAGTGTGTAAAAAAGCTAGAAAAACCATTACTAGTATTACTCATGCTGTAGAGTACATCCAGACCTGGTCTTGGTGGTCCTTTTAGAGTGCAATATAAACTTGGTCCTCTTCCAGGCTTCTGGAAGAGGGCACGAAGAGTGAATGGATGATATGTGTGCTGGCACTTTGGGTAGGATTTAAGTTAAGTAGAAGTCACTTTGCAGATCCACAAATCATTCTATAATCTATGCCTGTTGAACCAGCAGTTCAGCAGTGTATTCAGTTGCTGTGCTTATACTTAATGTGGCTCAGTGATACTCTGGGTAGGCTTGGATGCTCTGGGTAAGGTTGGACCCCCCAATCCCCCTCTTATCTATGCCCCTGAAGTTGGAGGAACCCATAGAGGGTTTATTGCTATAAAAGTACACCTTTAATGAGTAAGTCCACTTTTATTGGAAAAAATATTGCAAATTAAGAAAAGAAAATACCATATACAATTGAGACGTAAAGCCATGTTATAATTTAATGTTATTAAAAAATATCTTTCCTTTTTAATCTGCAGCACTGCAATTTTCTGTAAAATGCAATATGGCAACCTGGAGGCATTCCTTAGGCTGCATTCACACTTGAGTGTTATGTAGCTTGAAGCTCCAAGCTCCAAAAACGCTCAAATTTAAAAAATCAATTGTTCTCTATGGTACCTGTTGCACAAACAGGTGTGAACAGGCACCATCGAGAAAAATAGATTTTTTAAGTGAGCTTTTTTGGAGCTTCGAGCTTCAAGCTACAAAACGCTCAAGTGTGAATGCAGCCTAACACAGTTGGTGCACAAAACGCTCCTGGAAATGTCATTTTCTGCTTGTGTGATTTTTTTTTTTTTTTGCTAATTTTCCCAGAAGTCTGCACTAAGATATACAAGTCTGGTTTTAGGCATCTTCTGCAAGAACACTTTCAGTTTTGCTGAGATGCTCCTAAAGGGTCACTTTCCTCCTTGCAGTACTGCAAGTGCATCAGCTGATATATAATGAAAAAGTCACTCCTAGGCAGAATAATCATCTAAAAGACAAAGAACAAACTGATTTTTCTTCAGAGCAGAAACATGTGGAAATCTGCAAAAAAGTGTGGCAAAATCTTTACGATGTACATAGATCTTTTAGAGGGGATTGATTTTTTTTCTAAATGAAAGAAAAGTTATTCATTAGGCCTTAACCTCATTTGGGAATTTATATGACTGTTTCCTAAAACTATTTCCCCCCTCATAAATAATTTCTGCAGCACATTTTTTAATAAGTGCATCAGCACTCACACTTTTCTCTTAGTCCCCTGCAAAGTCCCAAAAATGCCCATTGAACCTGCCTGTGAGGTTCACCAAATGCACCTTCGAATGCTGTGGAATGATTACAAGCATTGTCACTATTTGTTTACATGTTTGTAGCTGTTTGATCAGCATCTAGCCACATCTAACCCTGACCACTGATTTCTGGATTGCAGCACTGTTTTGCTGATACTCTCCCACTCTTAGCTGTAGTGTCTGTAAGGGCAGTTTGTGAGACACGGATTGAGTAAAATGAAGCTTTAGGAAGCTTGTGCATCACATAGTACCTGGAATTGGTTCTTGTTTAAACTGCAATACAGAAGACTTTAGTTGCACTTTAACTACTTCCCGCCCAGCTTATCCTGCGCTCTATTGTGGCCATGCAGCGGCTCAATCTGTGTTCACCTGACATAGCAGATGGCTGATAGTTGTACTGAGCTGTTCCCTGTACCATGTGATCTCTGTGACCAATCACATCAATCACGTCAGTTGTACACAATGAATGGCTTTTATTCATAGCATGTAATATTGTGGTAATCTCTGTGATTGGTCAAAGTGATCACATGGTATGGACAGGGTCAATCACAGCTCATCTGTATTATGTGATAGCTGTGACCAATCACAGCTATCACAATAGTACACACTGGCAATGAATGTATGCCAAAATGATCATCATTGTTATAAACAATCATATCATAGTGTAAGAAAACAAATCCTGATCATCTGTCCAGAGTAGTACAGTGTCACCCTGGCAACCATGCACTGCTCTGGTCAGTATCTTTGATCACCACCACAAAAATGTAAAAAAAAAATATTATTTAATTTCTTAATTTTACAAATAATTGTGACAAAAAATTGCAACTTCAAGAAACTCACAATGCCTCTTACTAAATACTTTAGACTACTTACCAAAAATTGGCTATTGGGGGGGTATTTGTACTGTCCTGACATTTTAGGGCCTCAAGAAGTGAGATAGGCAGTCAGTACATCGGGATTGATCAATTTTTAAATATACAGTATGTACCATAGTTTGTAGACTTATATAACTTTCACACAGGCTAAATAATACTTATTTGGGTTATTTTTACCACAGAAATGTAGTAGAATGCATTTTGTCCCAAATTTATGAAGATTATTTACCGTATATACTCGAGTATAAGCCGAGTTTTTCAGCACATTTTTTGTGCTGAAAAACGCCCCCCTCGGCTTATACTCAAGTCAACGTCTGCAGGTGACATGCCGTCCCTGTCATCTGGACACAGCCCCGGGATCAATCCTCGCTGGTGATTGGCCGCCGGAACTGTAGCTCAGGAGAGGCACACAGGCGCCCAATCACCGGCGAGGAGGTGGAGCTTGGAGAGGAGGAGCCGAGCGGCACCGCGAAGATCGAGCGAGTGAAGAGGAGGAGAGCGGCCGGAGAAGGAAGACATCTGACCGGTAAGTGTGTACCATGGGAGAGGGAGGGAGCGAGCGAGCCCAGGCTGGAGCAGGGGTCACCAACGATGGGGCACTATTCCTCCCCCCACTGACACCAACGATGGGGCACTATTCCTCCCCCCACTGACACCAACGATGGGGCACTATTCCTCCCCCCACTGACACCAACGATGGGGCACTATTCCTCCCACACTGACACCAATGATGGGGCACTATTCCTTCCCCCACTGACACCAACGATGGGGCAGTATTCCTCCCCCCCACTAACACCAACGATGGGGCACTATTCCTCCCACACTGACACCAACAATGGGGCACTATTCCTCCCCCCACTGACACCAACGATGGGGCACTATTCCTTCCCCCACTGCACTATTCCTATTCCCCCCCCACTGACACCAACGATGGGGCACTATTCCTCCCCCCACTGACACCAACGATGGGGCACTATTCCTCCCCCCACTGACACCAACGATGGGGCAGTATTCCTCCCCCCACTGACACCAACGATGGGGCAGTATTCCTCCCCCCACTGACACCAACGATGGGGCAGTATTCCTCCCCCCACTGACACCAACGATGGGGCAGTATTCCTCCCCCCACTGACACCAACGATGGGGCACTATTCCTCCCACACTGACACCAACGATGGGGCACTATTCCTCCCCCCACTGACACCAACGATGGGGCACTATTCCTCCCCCCACTGACACCAACGATGGGGCACTATTCCTCCCCCCACTGACACCAACGATGGGGCACTATTCCTCCCCCCACTGACACCAACGATGGGGCACTATTCCTCCCCCCACTGACACCAACGATGGGGCACTATTCCTCCCCCCACTGACACCAACGATGGGGCACTATTCCTCCCCCCACTGACACCAACGATGGGGCACTATTCCTCCCACACTGACACCAACGATGGGGTACTATTCCTCCCCCCACTGACACCAACGATGGGGCACTATTCCTCCCCCCACTGACACAAACGATGGGGCACTATTCCTCCCCCCACTGACACCAACAATGGGGCACTATTCCTCCCCCCTCGGCTAATACTCGAGTCAATAGTTTTTCCCAGTTTTTTGTGGTAAAATTAGGTACCTCGGCTTATATTCGGGTCAGCTTATACTCGAGTATATACGGTATTTGAAAAACCGTATAACAGAAACTAAGAAAAACATTTTTTTTCCAAATGTTCACAATTTTTTGCTTATTATATTCATTTGGGCACAATGTTGCACTTTTTCATTCAAAGTGTGACAGTGCTGAAATCTGAAAATTGGCCTGGGCAGGAAGGAGGTATAAGTGTCTGGTATTGAGGTGATTGAATGTTATCTATCCTGATATCCTCCTAAGATATTAACATTTTATTCAGCCAAACAAGTTTATATCAAGTATGTAAACTATGCATATTGACTGTATAAATCCAAACTCCAGACAATTTTTTTTTTATGCATTGTGAGGAAGAGTTTAAACACCTGCAAGGCTTTTACTTCTAGAAAAGGGATTTTAATTCTTCCTGTTACCTTTTTAATGAGTACTTCACTTTTGGTCCCTGAGACACAGGACAAAAATGGAGGAAACAGTTACCCCCAGGCTGGAAAGCACTGACAAAAAAAAAAAAAAAAATGTTGTCCGAACTTCAAACCCTTTTTGCCTCAACTAAAAATGTTTTCTTAAAAAAGTTTTTCCTATTTCTATTCTATTCTATATTTCTATTTGTGCCCACTTGTGGGCAGCACAGTGGCTAAATGGTTAGCACTTCTGCCTGGCAGTACTAGGGTTGTTGGTTCGAATCCCAGCCACGGCACCTCCTGCCTGGAATTTGCATGTTCTCCCTGTGCCTGCGTGGGTTTCCTCTGGGTACTGTGGTTTCCTCTCACACTCCAAAGACATGCTGGTAGGTTAATTGGATGCTGTCTCACATTCATTCATACACACACTAGGGCCAATTTTAGTTAGGGACCTTAGATTGTACGCTCTTTGGGAGTGATGGGAATGTACAATATATATGTAAAGCACTGCGTAAATTGATGGCGCTATATAAAGTACCTGGAATAAATAAATAAAATAAACTTGGAAGGAATTTCCCATCACCTCATACCCTTGCTTTAATTTTCAACTTTCTTTTAACACTTTTGAAACAGATGTAAAAGTCAATTTGGTTTATATAATATTTGACTTACTATTTATAGGACCCCTTGATTCTTCATCTTATATAATAAAGAAAACCACACCACTTTACGATTTGACTAACTTTCTGCTTAATATTATGTCTGTATGTAAGCATTTATTCATTTAAACTGGGAGCCACAAACCAATATCCCTTTAAATATAAAAAAGAACTAAAAAAACTGAAGAGAAGTGTAAAAGCATACTGAGGCATAACTGACTCCCGGCTGGGGCCCTTCCCTCCAAGCCCAGGGCGCTTCCCACTGATCCCGGGGCCCTTTACTCCCATTGCGGAGACTTTTGCTACTCTCCTGCAGTTGGGACTCTTTAGATGTTCTGCAGCAGGCCTCCTGCATGCTGTCTTGGGCCCCCCCCCCCCCATGGTGGTGGATTGCCAGGGCCCAGTCGCAAGTGTGACTTTTTGGACCCTGGTAGTTCCGCCACTGCTGCAGGTCCTAATTTGACAGGCATGTGGGTGCAAGTGTACAGTCCCAAACATAGCGAATGTGCATTCAGGGCCACCCACCCATACCTACCTTCCCACCTGTCAAATTAGGACCCGGGGCTGTGTTTGTATAGCTGCTGTCTCCTCATAGACTAACAGGTGGCTCAGAGGCTTCAGCTGCACAAACGGCTCATTCAGAGAACCTGTGTGAATGAACCCTTATTTTTAATTTTTTTTTACATTTTCAATTTTTAATAATTATAATAGTTTATTTGTTGCAATTTTTTCCTTTTTTTTTTACAATGCTTGTGGGGGATGGGAGCTCTGGTGAAATTTAAGTGATCTAAATAGACCCCTGAAGTCTCACTTTTGAGACAGAGAAAGGGACTGACAAAATACATTCTCCAGTTGCTTTCTGCAGCTTCAGCTGCACATAATGAAGGCACAAGACCCCCGCAGCAGCTGGCAGGAAAGAAGAGAGGGGAAGCCAACAGAACTTCAGGGGGCAGACGGGGGTGAAGGGCAGCAGTCACAGACACACAATGGGTACAGAGGGGGTGATCAGGGAGATTGGTGTGGTGGGGGGCAATTAGAGGAACACTGTATGTAGCAGCTGAAAGCAGCGGGAGGGAGAGGAGGAGAAGCAGGCTTTCAGGTGCTGCATACATGGGACCAGTTCCTATAATTGCCCCTCTCAAAAACTAATGTGAAAGGCAGGCCACACAGGTCCCCCTGGAGCAGGGGCTGGGTTGCAATTGCGACCCCTGACGGTATGCCAGTGCTGTACATTCTCATTATATATGATACCTGAATAGAAAGTCACTGTCCTGAATCATCATCTTATCACTAGGTTTTCACATGTATATGTAAATCAATGTTCCATGTATGGCTGCAAAGTGTAATCATGTTTTATAAATGAGTGACAGCACAGTATATATAGTCTGAGTTACAGTGTCATTTATAGTTTGTGTTTAGGTTGCATCTTTCGAGTGGAATGTAAATGAGAGAATACTTAGATGCATGTCAAACTCATATTATTCATTAGGCCTTGCATGTACCTTTTATGTAAGCCTTTTCTTTTTACTGCACATGCAATATCACCTGTCATTTTTCAAGAGATAAAACGGGACATTTTTTTTCTTTTGCAAAACTTTCTGCAAGGTGATAGAAGTGTCATAGTCCAGTTATAATTGCAGAATACATTATTTTATACAGTATATCAGAATGCCTGATGGTAGAGTGCAAATTATATCTGCACCATCCTTTTTTATTTTCTAATATCATGAAGACCTAGAGACTTAATAAAAAAACAAAACTGCAAAGCTCAAATAGTTAAATCAAAGTGCAGATACAAATCAAACCAATCTTAAAAATGTGCTCCAGCTACAATACTGACTTTTTTTTCAGCATTATCCCCTAGACCTATCTAGTGTTGCTCCTTTTCTGGATTCAGTGATGATTACCATTTGTCAGCCCACTTCCTTTGAACCCATGGCATCAAGGGCTCATTCTCACCATGGACTAGGAGAATGCTGCTTTCTGGGTTCTCCACCAGAGGAGGAAGATAGTGAAAGGGATTTGTGGCTCACACAAAAGTACTAAATACACCTTGAATAAGTAAATGCATACAGCATTTTTTTAAGGGTTGTGGGTTACTCCAAGAGAAAAAGAAGGGGATTCAAAACCCAGTGTTGGTCTATTAAGAGAATAGTTGTTTTTGCTAGCTATTGGACTTTCTACTTATATTTTCTCTTAAACAGGTTTCCTATAGTAAATAATGGAAGGAAATATTGTGCCATTAGTGAACTGTCTTTTTGAAGATGCTCCATGATTAAGCCCCTTTGTGGAGTAAAATGCCGGGAGATGGAGAGGCAAAATCGGGAGACAGACTTGCAAAACTATATGTTGTAAATTCTCTACTTATCATGACTTTAAATTGGTGACATCTGTGCGCAGGCTGTTCATATTTACTTGACAAGTGTAACAGCTGAGCGGTGATGCACTTTTGGGTGTATACCTGATAAGAGCTGGAGGTGCAGGGAAAGAGGCAAGTTTGGGTTGGCATAGCTATTTATTATTATACGTTTCAGGGGAAGTTATGCTTTGTGAGATCATTTTCTCCACAACAGAGTGAATGAGGTGAATCTTTGCTGACTTTCATCGTCTAGTCATGTGCAGGCAAAAATGCTGTTTTTTTTTTCCTTGCACGTGATTGGGTGCAAACTGAAATTTCACTCAGCTCTGGGAAAATTCCATTAAAATGTGCAAAGTGCACCATCTAATTGCCTTTAGTAAATCAACCCCATTGACAAGTAAGTAAATCAGGAATTTTGGCTTTCTGCTAACTTTGCTAGATGCACACCTGTTTTTGCCCAGTGACCCAAAACACTGAGGCCTCAGACGGTCAAGCAGCTAGCATTTTCATCTTCCATTTTTGTATTAAACTCTAATAGCAAATATGAATATAATGTAAATTATTTCAATTTCTTTCATGGAATGTGAACTTTAACAAAGTCCATTTTAATGTTCCTACAGAAGTTATTTATTGATAAGTAAAATTTACCTAAACATAAAACATTTAAAATGGCTCATATATGAAAGATAAAAGCATATTTTAATCTGTTTGGTTTTACAGTATCCAGCATTAGGTAGGCAGTGAATCATGGAAGTATCCAGCAGAGAGGAGGTTACCAAAGGTTGCATTTTTGATGAGTCTGACATCAGATAATTCATAGAAATGTATTTTCACAAGCTTTTTCACTTATTGAGAGGTTTCAGCTTCCAGAGAAATGAAGTGACATTGATACTGCTAGAGTTGCCACTTAAGATTATTATCTAATAGCTTATATCTTATGATAATACTTTATTTGTTTTGCTAGAGCTACTAGATTGTCACTAATGCTTCAATACCACTTTCTTGTGTACAGCAGGACAAAATTACTTCTATAAGGCTCTTAGCAATGCATGCTGGGCACTTGAGTTTCTTGAAGGAGTTGCAGCTTTGCCATATCTCCATCAGTTCATAAATGTCTAGAAAAAGCAGACATTTTTATTTCCTATTACCTACACTGTCACTCTGATAACTTGATTTATACATCTT